GTGAGCGAGGACCACACAAGGACAGAGGGTCTCCCCTCCTGTGCTCGATTTTGGGGAACAACCCAGGCTTCCAACCCCCTCCTGTCCCCACCTCCCACAGGACCCCGAAGCGGCGCAGGAACGTCGTGGCCGTCACATCCCCGGCCAACGCCTCCTCGGCAGAGCCGCCGGCCCCGAGCCGCGCCGGGGGCGAGCCCAAACCTGACTTCCAGATCTTCGAGGACAAGGGTCTCCCCTCCTGTGCTCGATTTTGGGGAACAACCCAGGCTTCCAACCCCCTCCTGTCCCCACCTCCCACAGGACCCCGAAGCGGCGCAGGAACGTCGTGGCCGTCACATCCCCGGCCAACGCCTCCTCGGCAGAGCCGCCGGCCCGGAGCCGCGCCGGGGGCGAGCCCAAACCTGACTTCCAGATCTTCGAGGACAAGGTGGTGCGCGACCGGGCGGTGCTGTCGCGGCTGCGCCACTTCACCGAGTACCGCATCGACATCCACGCCTGCAACCACGCCGCGCACACCGTGGGCTGCAGCGCCGCCACCTTCGTCTTTGCCAGAACCATGCCCGAGCGTACGTCCCGGCAGCCTCCCCCATCCCAAACCCTGCCTCGGCGATGCTGGGATGCTCCGGGGTCCTGGTGCCTTTGAGATGGGGGATCGGCAGCGGGTCGGGGTCTGGGTGATGCCCCCAGGAGCTGACCCTCTCTGTGCCCCTCTCCAGTCCAAGCTGACAACATTCCCAGCAAAGTCACGTGGGAGCCGGCCGGTAAAAACAGCGTCCTGCTGCGCTGGGAAGAGCCCAGGAACCCCAACGGGCTCATCCTCAAGTATGAGATCAAGTACAGCCGTGAGAGCGAGGTGAGGACCCCCCCACCGCACCCCCTGCCCAGCCCTGCCAGCTCTGACACAGCACTCATCCCATCCCATCCCGTCCTGTCCCGTCCTGTCCTATCCCATCCGATGCCATCCCATCCCATCCCGTCTCACCTCCCTCCCCCAAGGCCTGTGCTTGGCTGCGGGGGGGATGAAGCCCCCTTTGCCACCCCTGCATTGTCCCTCCCCAGGAGGTCACCACTGTCGTCTGCGTCTCCCGTCATCGCTACTCCAAGTACGGGGGGGTCCACCTGGCCCTGCTCCAGCCGGGGAACTACTCGGCCAAGGTCCGGGCCACCTCGCTGGCCGGCAACGGCTCGTGGACGGGGCTCGTCAAGTTTTACATCCTGGGGCCAGGTACCTGCAGGGGACAGTGGGGTCCCCAGCCGCGGGGCAGGCAGGGAGGGTATGCTGCAGCTGGAGGTCAGGGGGTGCTGCTGGATCAGTGCACTGTCGAATTGGGGGGGATACTGGTGGACTGGGGAGCTGAGGATCAGGGGATGCTCCTGAACTGGGATGCTGAAGATGGGGGATGCTCCTGAACTGGGGAGCTGGCGGGACTGGGGGATGCTGCTGGACCAGAATGAGAGGATCAGGGGATGCTCTTGGGCCAGGACGCTGAAGATGGGGGATGCTGCTGGATTGGGACACTGGAGGATCAGGGAATGCTGATGGATTTGGGATCTAGGGGACTGGGGGATGCTCTGGGACAGGGACACCCAGAGATCAGTGGGTGCTGCTGGCCTGGGGAGCTGGTGGCACCCCCAATCTGGCCCAGCGGTGGTGGTGGGACAAGTGTCCCTGCAACCTGTGGGGTGGGATGAGTGCCCAGGCCCTGGCCCACGGCCGCCTGCTCCCGGCAGCCGAGGAGGAGTCCGGCAGCTTCTACGTCCTGCTCACCGTCATGCCCGTGGTCCTCATGGTGCTCATCTCCTGCCTCGCCGTCTTCGTCTTCTTCTACAACAAGAAGAGGTAGTGACCCCCCCTGCACCCCCGGCACTGGGCTGGGGCTGGATCCAGCTGAGCCAGGGCTGGGCAGGGGTCGTGGGGAGGTGGCATTGTGTCCTCGTCCTCCGTTCTCTGAGTGATGCCCACCCCTCGCAGGAGCAACGACGGGTACCCCAGCGGGACCCTCTACGCTTCCGTCAACCCTGAGTACTTCAGTGCCTCGGACAGTATGTCAGGATGGGCAGGGGTGTCCCCGTGGGGTCCTGCTGGGGCCATGCTGG